TGTGAAGACAGTGGAAAGATCAGTGGTTCCCGGGGGGTGGGGAGGCGGGATAAACAGGCGGAGCGCAGAGGAGGTTCAGGGGAGTGAATACGCTGTGTGACCCCATAACGGTGGCTATTTATCATTACACATTTCTCCAAACCCATGGAACGTGCAGCCCCACGAGTGAAACGGGAGGTAAACTATGGATTCCGGCTGATACGATGCATCCATGTAGGTTCAACCTTCTTAACAAATGTACCATCTGGTGAGTGATGTTGGTAATGGGGGAGGCTGTGCGTGTCTGGGGGCAGGGCGTACAGGGAGCATCTCTCTACCTTCCTCGCGATTTTGTTATAAACCTAAAACTGCTCTAAAAAACAGTGTTAAAAAATTATATGAGATTCAAAGGTCAGTGTCCACAAATAAATAACAGCCATGCCCATTCGTTGCATACTTTCTGTGGCTGCTTTCACACCTCAGGGACAGAGACCCGGCCGCCGAAGCCTGAAGTATGTGGTGTCTGGCTCTTACACAGAGCGCTCGCTGCCCCTACGCTGCTAAATGTAACTGATAGGCAAGTACCTTTCCTATGCCACCCCAATGTCACGGGGCATGCATCTATCCCGCCTTTGTTGAACCCTTCCCCCCAGGGATCTGCAGGGAATGGGCCAGTGTTCCCTGGGGAGTGTGAAAATGCGGCTTCCTGGTGAAGCTGCCCAAATGACATGCCTATAATGTCTGGCTTTCCCTTTGCGCTTTTCCCATTATTAGTAACTAGCTAATTACAATGGTATCAGAAGTACAGAGAAGCAAGTCTTATTCAAAGTCCCCCTCAACATGTGGCAGAACTGGGGTTTGAACTCCGCTAGGTTTGGCGCCTTGACTCCGCTGTGGTGCCGCACAATAGAGGGCCGATAAAACTTGCAAGTATAGAGCTCGTAGTTACACAAACACACCAGGAGAAACAACCTCCATAATTCAGCTCTTTTTTTCAATCCTCACCTGAGGATATATTTTCATTGATTTGAGAGACAGAAGAAGGGAGAGAGAAGGAGAGGGAGAGGGAGAGAGAGAAAGACAGAAACATCTATGTGAGAGGGAAACAGCTATGTGAGAGAACAGCAATTGGTGCCTCCCGCACACACCCCAACCCAGAGATCAAACCCGCAACCTAGGTATGTGCCCTGACCGGGAATTGAACCCACGACCCTTTGGTGCACAGGGTGATACTCCAACCAACTGAGCCTCTGGCCAGGGCTCAACTCTTTCCATTATACTTTACAGTCAGCGCATACGCCTCTCACTTAGTTCTGTACTGTCCCGAGCAGCAGTTACTGAATGAAGAGAAATTTCCACTTCTTTGGCTTTCTCTATATGCCCTTCATAATTTCTAAGGATGAGTATTTATAATTCTCCTTTTATGCGATAAGACTTTTGCCACATGGGAAGCCATCTGAGGCTGTGTCCTGTGGGCTGGGAATAAAGGCTGGTACCTGACTTCCTGCTGCACAGGACCTGGTGTCCAGCACAGAGGCAAGTTCTGGGGCTGCTGACACTGAAATTTTAATGGTTGTGTAGAAGTTGGGGCCTCTAACAACCCCCAAGCAATCTCATCCAACAGGCTGGCCCAGATCGGTCTTGCCTCACTCAATTTTCCTTTCAGAGGACGAGCGGCACCAGCTGCCAGGCTCCAGCGTCGGTCCCAGGGAATCATCGTGTTTCTAATTGGAGTTTGGGCCATGATGCCATCCCTCTGTCTGCCCATCAGGATCAGTTCCTTCCTGTGTTGTGTTGTTAAAAGGCCTGGACATTAACTGGTTTCCAATGAGATTTGGCTCCCCAGGGAACTGGCTCACAGGTTTTAGTTTATTCCTTTTGGAATTTAGAGGGGAGATCATTCCTGTAGCAGAAGGCTACATAATAATTCTCTTACTTTTAAAAAAATATATATTTTTATTCATTTCAGAGAGGAAGGGAGAGGGAGAGAGAGATAGGAACATCAATGATGAGAGAGAATCATTGATTGGATGCCTTTTGCACACCCCCTAATGGGGATCGAGCCTGAAACTATGCCCTGGCTGGGAATCGAACTGTGACCTCCTGGTTCATAGGTTGACGCTCACCACTGAGCCACATCAGTTGGTCTCACTTTCTTCTTTTAAGCAGCCACATGAAAAACTTAAGCATATGGAATGCTCTAGACCTTGATTGGAGTAATGGTCTATGAGTGTATACATTTGTCAAAGCTCATCCAACTGTATGCTTGAGATCTGAGCATTAGAGGAAAATGCATGCAAACTAGGTTTAAAAAAAGTCAGAGTAGTTACTTATGGCACCTGTCTGAGGCTGGTTAAATCCAGAATTACTCTTTAGTAATCACTTCTGATCCTTTAGATTTCTTGAATCCCAGATCAAGGTACCACCTTGTGGGAGGCTTAGACTTATTTCCTCTACTTTGTATTCTGCATTTATTTGAAAGCAGGCATTCTAAGGCCACATAAGGATAACGGATACTTATCCTTGTGAATAGTCAGTGTCAGAAAGGGAAGCTTCATCTTTGAGTCTCTGTATTATGCTACACTGAATTTATAATTAAACTAGAGGCCTGGTGCATGAAATTCATGCACTGACGGGGAGGTGACCCTCAGCCTGGCCTGTGCCCTCTCACAGTCTGATAGCCCCGCGATTGATTGCCCCAAAGAGGTAGACCTCACCCACCCGGCTAGGGCTCCACGATGCATTGCCCCTGCAGAGCGAGGCCCAGGCTACCTGCCACAGCACCGCTGGTCGGTGGCCTGAGCCTCCCTCTTTGGGGCGATCTTGGAGCCCCCCAGTTGATTGCCCTGCCTGCTGGTGGCCTGGGCCTTCCTCTGCAGGGCGATCATGGGGCAATGGCGGGGCCCATGACCAATTGCATCTCACCCTTCTTGACTGGCCTGGTGCCAGTGGGTGTCATAGCGTGATCATCTGGACAGTCATTCTGCTGTTCGGTCATTCAGTCGATTTGCATATTATGCTTTTATTATTATAGATAAAGATAGAAAACTCTACCTGGGATAGGGGCAGTGAATTTATTTAGGGCCTATTTCCTCCAGCTTGTGGGGAGAGTAAGTGTAAAGATAAGAACTATAACTTTAAAATAAAAAGTTTTTGGTTCAATCGTGCATCATGTCTCCAATACAGATTTCTAGCCTTGGATATAAATATTTCAGGATCAGATGCTTTCATCTCTCTCTGCCTTGCAAGAAGAGAAGATTGGAAACAATCTTCCTTAAGTAAAGTAGCTTTAATCATTGTTTCTCAATCAGCTGAGCTGTGTTGGAAAAAAAAGATGTAAGAATCCTATAATCCCTGGTTTAGTGGTAATGAAATTGTCCAGGCTGAGAAAGGAACAGATGGATTTTGATTAATTTCTACTAAGACCAGCAAGTATCAACCTCAATATTCTTTATAAACTTGTCAGGGTAAATGTTATAAAGTCATAAGAGGATGGAGACAAAAAGATATAAAATAAACATGAGTTTATAGCTGGGTGGTGAATAGTTAAAGGGGGATATACTTAAAAACACAACACATCAAAATTTGGATTCATTGAATCAGGACAATCTTTTTAGAGTTAATCCCTTAAAGAATAAAATAATTTTTTTGTATTTTTCCCCCAAGAGAGGACCTAGGTATCCAGTGAAGTGGGCGTCACACCTGCTGGGGGCAGCAGTAAGAGGAATGCAAAGAAGATTCAGAGAGCTGGGAGGCTGAACCTCGGGTTCAACATGTATGATTTCAGGGTGATAATTGAAAACAAAGATGAACTTTACCAAGACGTAATTTGGAATGAACTCAGACAACCCAGTTGCCACAGTTCCTCTGTTTTATGGTTGATATTTAGGGCACCGAGGGGCAAGTTCTCAGCTTCCCATGTCCTCTGCGGGACTCCTCCCTCCTCCCAGCTATCAAAGGCCCAGCTGTCTAGGGGGCGCAGAGAGATCCAGAGGCGTAGAGATTTAAATTTGGCATTAACCTGAAATTAGAACTGAAGATTAAAGAAAGGCCAAAAACAAAATATCTGAGTGACATTGGTCTCACACTTGCTAGGGTATGAAGTGTTTACCTCCAACAGAAAATCAATAACTGCTTGTTTTAGGTTTAAGAATACTTCTGTCTGGTGGTGCCTTCTTCCCAGCATAATTTACGGTGCCCATTTCATTCCGCCCGGTCAGGAGATGGTCGTGAGGAAAGATAGTAAGAAGCTAGAGAAATTCCTTGGCAAGTGGAATGAGGGAAACAGACAAAATAGTTAATAGCCTGCTAATAAATTGCAACATCTTTTTGTTGTTGTTAATCCTCACCTGAGGATATTTTTCCATTGATTTTTTTAGAGAGAGTGGAAGGGAGGGGGAGAGATAGAAAAACATCGATGTGAGAGAGACACATCAATTGGTTGCCTCCTGCACACGCCCCAGCCAGGGCTGGGGATCAAGCCTGCAACCAAAGTACGTGCCCTTGACCGGAATTGAACCTAGGACCCTTCAGTCCGCAGGCCGAGGCTCTATCCACTGAGCAACCTGGCTAGGGCTACCCTCATTTTGATGCATTAGCATATTAACAAACACACCTGGAAAGCTGCTGAATATTCTGTTGAGTCCCTTCCCTGAAACCTCCTGTAAAATTCCCGCCTTTAGAAAACAGAAAAGAACCGTAAGACAAAAGATGCCTGAGTGTGTGCTCTTTCTCGAGCACCAGAGACCCCTCCTTTCCTCAGGCATGTACTTTTGCTTTCTTTCTCCTAAGCTCTAAGGGTCCCCATGAGACTTGCAACCAGGGGAGCAGCGGGCAGTGGCCGCTCATCCCAGGTTAACCCTCTGAACCTGTCTTCAAGGGCCATCCTTTATCTGCTGTAACTTGTTTCTTGAGTCCAGGCAGCCCAGCGTGGCTCACTTCCTCAGGCTTATTTGTACCAATAGCACAGAAGGATGCCAGTTCTATGTAGACAGTAGCCCAGGGATCCATGTGATCCATCCTCACATCAGCAGACAGTGGCCTCTACTGTGGAGCCTGTAGGGGGCCTGGGCAGCTTTGGGAGCCTGAGCCTGAGCCGCAGTCAAAGCCTGGGGCTTGGTGTCAGCGTTGGCCTTGGACTTTGGCTGGCAGAGCCCGAGACCCTTGGTGATGTGGACCCGAGCACATTTCCCAGGCTTGGTGAGCAATGTAGGCAGGTCGACGGAGCTGTGGTTGTCACCCTTTGGGATCTTAGGCTGCACGAGAGCCTGGATAGCCTCAGGATGTGCGCTCATGGCCTTGGCGTTGTTGGCCTGCATCTTCAGGCTCTTCTTGCTGTGCTTCCTGGCAGAGCGCATGCTCCCCAGGAACTTGGGGTCTACCCCTTTAAGAGATTTGTATCTTTGCGATCAGGGTTTCTTGTTGCCGTTTCTGTGCCATTTTCGGGACTGGTTGTGTGTTGTGTGGTTCTTATACTCGGCCACGTCTGCATGGAAGCCTGTGGCTCCCAAAGCGCCTGGGACCAGAGGAGAAAGAGAGTGTGGCTCCCTCCTGTTCCCATGGCTCCTTCGTGCATTGGGTGGCCCACTCTGTGCTCACTCCTGTTGCTGCGATCTTGCCTCTTCTATCTTAAGATTTTTCTTTGTTTCACTGTCCCCATCTTTAATAATGTGCTCTCAGAATCACCTGGACTCGGGGCGTGAAACCTTTCCTACATTAGGCCAAGAACCCACACGTTCCAGACCATGAGTTACAGACTGAGAGCTGGCTGAGCACATAGAACCCTAACTATATCCTTGAATATCATCAATACTTAACACACGGCCAATTAAAGGCAGAATTCATCATGAAAAATTCTCATTTCTCTTATAAAAACAAAACAAATTCCAGCCTTGCTTTTCAATATTGGGAGCCAGAATGCAATCCTCATGAGAACATAGGAGACAGACATGTTCTCTCCTTCACAGACGCCAAGTGGGGTTTACACGGAGGAAGGTGATGGTTAGTAATGGAGTGTGACAGTCAGGCATCAATCCTGCACTCGATATTCTAGTGCAGTGATGGTGAACCTATGACACGCGAGTCAGAGGTGACACGCGAACTCATTTTTTTGGTTGATTTTTCTTTGTTAAATGGCATTTAAATATATAAAATAAATATCAAAAATATAAGTCTTTGTTTTACTATGGTTGCAAATATCAAAAACTTTCTATATGTGACACGGCACCAGAGTTAAGTTAGGGTTTTTTTAGGGTTTTTCAAAATGCTGACACGCCGAGCTCAAAAGGTTCGCCATCACTGCTCTAGTGCTTCCCTGCTGTTATCTTGTCATCTTAGCCGTGACTTGGAAATAGGATCTGCTTAGGGACAAGGGCGCCGCGTTCACTAATGCTGAAACCGGCTCTTTGGGAAATCTGACCCAAGGATCATGATTTTAACCTGACAGTGACCTCCTGTCCATTTCCTGTCTTTCAGGGATGCAGGTAGAAGAGATGGGGGCCTCGGCCAGGGCGCTGGCCAAAACAACCAGGGCCATCTACGCCATGACGCATGGCAGTAGGCTCAGTGCCTAGGCCCCTGATACATTGAGGAGCACATGAAAGTGTTTTAATGTCTTTTTAAATATGTTTTTTATTGATTTTAGAGAGAGAGGAAGGGCAGGGAGAGAGAAACATTGATGTGAGAGAGAAGCATCAATCAGCGGCCTCCTGCATGCCCCCTCCTGGGGATTGAGCCCCTGACCCAGGCATGTGCTCTGACCCTGAATCGAACTGGCAACTTCTCCTGCATAGGACAACACCCAACCAACTGAGCCACAGTGACCAGGGCAAAAATGTTTTAATTTCTTTCAAAATCAGAAGAAAAACATGGGTACAATCCTGCCTGGATTATATTCATCTTTATATCAACACAGTCACAAGTGTAATTTTTAATAATTTTTTATGCAGGAAGGAGCTCATGGAGGTAGAAATGCTGAGTGGTCACAAAACTCATCATGTGAATCTGGAAACGGATGGCAACTCAAAGACTTTAACTGAAGAGAATGAATCAAAGGGGCTCTTTGCAAAGGTGTGGTTGGGTTAAGAAAAAACAATAAGAAGTAGCGAAGTGCCCAGGGCCCAGCAACCATGGGATCCATCATCACCGTGGGGCCTGAATCGACAAGGGCAGGGACCACTGGCCAAACCCAACCAACAGTCAGCGTGGAAGGTAGCCCAGAGGCTCAGTCCATATAGGCCGGACTTGTGGGGCACAGAGCAGGGCAGACAAGAGCAAAAACTAGATGGGGTGTGCCGGAAGCCGGTTCATCCTTGCTGCTTGACACAGTCGCTACAGGGAAGAAACATCTGCACAGCATATGTTTCAAGGGACCTGGCATATATGGCATACTGTTCTTAATATGTTTGCTCCCCTTCTTAGCGCTGTGTGTTTTAACCAAGGTCACCTCTCCGAGAAAGGTTGTTTCCCCAGGTGGGATTTTTCCCTGGAGTTAGGGATTAACAGGACTAAGGAAGGGAATAAAACCCCTTAACTAAGTGCCAGGCGGGTAATTAATCACTTTAACTATGAACAATCACTTAGGATAATCTCCTTCAGTTACTTCCTTGTAGCTTAACAGAACAATAGAGTAGTGACTTTGGAATGGAGATAACAAACGCCCTAACCTTTGGAATAGAATGGATAGGATTAAAATCAACTGGTATAAATACAGATGTAACAGGACAATAAAGACTGAACCTGGCTGGAGAACGTGGCTAGGCTGCTGATCAACTGAACGCTGTCTCCGTGTCATTCCTTCTTCGCCAACTCCATCCACACCTTTGGGAACCCCTGGATCTGTTAGGGTTGGACCCCAACATCTGGTGCCTGGGGTCATGAATACAGAATAACCAGTACTGGACTCAGATTCTCACCACTCCCTGTTTCTAGAGTTTTCAAGTGGGTGTAACTCCTGCCTTTGCGTAGGATTGATAGGGTCTAGGCATGGATTATAGAAGGAGGAACTTATTTTCTGTTTCAAAATGAAAAAAAATATATACCCCACACCAGATTTCGAAAGGATAGTACCCCATCAGGTGGCAAGTGTCTCAGCCTTTCTTGCCCATTGGCTTTATTCAGAAAGCATCTGTCTTTGAGGATTTAGGTTTCCTATTCCTTTCACAATCAGGGTTCAGTCTCCTGTTCTAGTCCAATGAGGGGACAGGCTGGAGAACTGGTCAAGAAAAGTCTTTTGAATCAGACTGCTTGGCCCAGTTTGGTTATTAATTAGCTATTGAGTCCCTGTGCCTCAGTTACTTTGTCTGTAAAGGTAGGACAATAGTAGGACATGCTTCATAGGATGGTGGAAAGATGAAATGAAATAATAGATTGAATGAAAAAACATTTATACAGTGCTTATTATGAGCTAAGCACCATTCTAAGTGCTTCATGTATGTTGACCCATTTAACTGCACAGAGAAAAGCAAAGATGAAAACACAAAGAAAGACAAGCTTGTGATGGTATTATTTGAGAATCTGCATATGGCTGTGCTTGACACTAAACTGCCACTGGATTTTTCACATCTGTGAGTCAATAAATATTCCTTAATTTTTGAGGGGTCTTAGTCAGTTAAATTGAATTTCTGCCACTTGCAACCAAGATAGTTTCAATAAAGTGATGATATAGATATGTATATGTACACACATGTGTGCACATTGTATATATTTGCATATGCATAAATATACATTCATTAGTTAAATACATCAAGGAAAGTTATAGAATGCATAGGCAATTTCTCTGAGCTTTTGGGGATGCTTCTTCAGAGAATCTTCCATTAAAACTTGTTAGTACTACGCCCACTTAATGGAGGAGGATGGGAAGATCCAGAGAGCTGGAGTACCTTTCCCAGGCACTTAGCTGATGGTTGAGTGAGCTAGGGCTCGAATCCAAAGACCGCGTTCTTTCTCACCATAGGCTTCCTCTGCTTGTCATTCTCAGAGCGCAGGGATGGGTGGACCCTGGGCTTGAGCCAGTGTGGTTTTCGCCACCCTCTTTTATTTCATAGGAGGTTGGGGTAGCTGCTAGAATGCAAAGGATGATGAGGTCAGAACTGTGGCGATGAACACAGCTCATAATCATAAGTGAGCTCCATGCATCAGCTTTGAAAAGGCAACCGTCTCTCCTACAGATGACCGAACCCGGAGGCTTTCCTCCACCGGCTGCCACACTGTGTGTGCATTTGCAGCACAGCTTTCCGCATTTACTTCTGTGGAAACTGACAGAGTAATTGTCTTACTATGTTATGTGCTTTGGCAGCAATAGAAGTGGGGCCCACAGGTCCAAATCTAGAAGCGAATCCCTCTTTTAATGATTCCGGTTTGTTAACACTCTTCCTGCCCTTATGGGAAGAAAAGGCAGGTCATAGTGGTAGGTGCAGGTGGGTAGATGGGGGTGGGGGGGGGAGTAGATGGTACTTCCAGGGCCCAGAGCAGTCTCTGGCTCCTCCCAGGGTGGGCCTGGGACAGGAGTGGGGCAGTGAGTCCAGAAGCCACTCCTGCAGGCTCCAGACTCTGAAGGATTCTGCCTTCAATTCAGCCTTTCACAGGCCCTTCAAATCAGGAAGGAACACCCTCAGACCTTGTCAAGCCAAGATTCCCATCCCTTGGGGCAAATATCAAATGATTCCCTGTGACCCTCTTTCTGACCTTCCTCAGGCCCAGCTGCTTTCTATGTCCTGTCGGCTTCCACAGCTTTAACAGAACACTCATTATATCTTTCTCTAATACTTTAGAAATTATTTCCCTCCTTATAATATAATGTCATTATATTCTAGACTCCTGGAAATAAGAAAATACTCATAATTTTTTAAAAAAAATTCTCACCTGGGGAAATGCTTATTGATTTTAGAGAGAGGGGAAGGGAGGGAGAGAAGGAGGGAGGGAGGGATGGAGAGAGAGAGAGAGAGAGAGAGAGAGAGAGAGAGAGAGAGAGAGAGAGAAACACTGATTGGTTGCCTTCTGTAGCACCTCAACTCGGGTTCAAACCCACAACCTAGGTGTGTGCTCTGACTGGGAAACAAACCCGCATTCTTTGGTTGACGCTCCAACCAACTGAGCCACACCGGCCAGGGCAAGAATCATACTTTTTTTCTTTTTAAAATATTTTTTATTGATAGATTACAGATATCTTCAATTTTCCACCCTTCCCCTCCTCCTCCCAGCTTCAACTGCGCCCCGCCCCCCAAGCAGGTCTTCACCAGCCTATTGTCCGTGTCCATGGCGTATGCATATAAGCATATAAGTTCTTCGTTTATCTCTTCTTGCCCCCCAACCTCACATCAAGGTATGTCAGTCTGTTCCATGCCTCCCTGCTTTGGTT